GAAATAACCATAAATTGCTTAATTCAGGGTCAACAAAATTAAATCCTCAAACTGACTCAAGTACAGTGAATTTGAGTGTGAAGTAAAAATGTAAACTGTGGAAACAACTCTTCTATCTTTACTGTTTGTTGAGGTCCTACTAAGACCAAAGCAAGAACTATTTCTGTTGTTGAAAGAGTCTCCCTGGGTGGTGACAAACATCTGAACTTTATGGACTCACGAGTACACTCTGGGATTCTGCTATTATTCAAATGGAGCACTAGATTATAAAAGTACTGGACTTACATTTACTCTCTACATGCCAAGCACAATGCTTGCTATTTTTGCAGAGCACTGTTTTTAGAGTAGGTCTTTCTCCCCTTTCACCTTTTTTTTTTTTTTTTCGTATTTACTCACAGTCCTTTTCAACCTGGTGCCTGGCAGTATATACACAACCTTATGCACCTACTGAATATTTATTCATAGTGATGAAGTCATCACATCACGGTCACCCAGAATTCACCCCCTTCCCCTTGCGCATGGCCACTGGCCCTTGTCTACCCATCACCCAGGCTCTGGAGATCCTGTTATGAGGAAAAAGGTACGGCAGCGAGTCAGAGCTCTACCCTATGGGATGGCTGCAAGGCCCCTGGTTTCACTGTGCTCTGAATGGATCTTAACTGTGGCCTAAGGGTAACATCTTTACATTAAATGATATTTTATTCATACTTGGGTCTTGGGTTCCCAAACCAAATAAACCAAAGATTTCATCTTCTGCCAGGCTCAGTGTCCGGTCAGCCAAGGGGAGGATGTTTTACCCGAGGAGCTGTGCCACCACCAGCAGCCCGACCAGTCCCCTTCCCAGGGACCCGCTTTCCTGGGGCGCCCGGCATGGACCAGATGAGCCTTCAGAAGCAGCGCAGTCCTAAATGGCTGATTTTGAGCTGGATACTTCCTTGTGATGGGGGGCATCCTGTGCATTGTGGGATGTTTAGCAGCATCCCTGGCCTCTACCCCTTAGATGCCAATAGCAGCCTCCTTCCCTTATTGTGACAACCAACATAATCACCCCCAGGGAGACCACAGCCTTAGGGAAGGAGGGAGGGGGAGGGGGAGATTCTCTTCCCAAGGTGTCCTGGGCCTGTCCTATGTGAAGCTGGGAGCCTGTGCTTGTCACCTCTGGTGATTCGTTGTAATAGTCCTGCTCAAACTTTAAAGTGCATGTCAGTCCCCGGGCGTCTTTTGAAAATGCAGATTCTGAATCCAAGGGTTGGAGTGGGCTGAGGTCTGCACCCCCAGGGAGCCTGTTAAGAAATCAGGGACCATGACTGAGGTAGCAGGGACCCGGCTGGGATGTGGCACAGGTGCCACAGGAATCTCTTTGATGGAGATTAACAGAACCCACTCCAAGTAACCAAAGGAAAACTCTAACAGGTTAGAAACAGGGGCTCTCAGATGGTGGACATAAGGGCTTAGTCCCGATGTAGGAGCTGGGGCCGGCCCCTCTCTCCTCTGGCTCTGGTTCAGTTCCTGCCATTCCTGCCTCCTTGGCCCTACTCACTTGTCTAATCCTGGCCCCATCATTGGGCACAGCACAGATCCCCTGAGAGGGGGTGTGTGAGGTAAGTCAATGGACTGACAGGCTGCTTCAGTGGGACACTGGAGGAGGAGGAGTCCAGAGCACCAGGTGGCTTCTTGATCGGAACAAGATTACTGTCCCCCATCAGCGGACTCACCTCTGGGAGGTCGCTTCATGGGTGGGGCAGGCCCAGGGTGCACGCAGGAGGAGGTTGGGGAGGGCCTGGGCCCAGGTTTCTCTTCCTGCCTCTGGCTCTGCCAGAGGTTCCCTGTCCTTTTTCCTCGCTCTGGCCTCACCTGCCTTCCAGGGATGATGAGACAGAGCTGCAGAAATATTCTTTTAAAAAATATGTATATTTTTATTAATTTTAGAGAGACGAAGGGAGAGGGAAAGCGAGACAGAAACATCAATGACAGAGAAACATGGATCAGCTGTCTCCAGCATGCCCCCTACTGGGCATCGAGCCCACAGCCAGGCATGTGCCCTCACCGGGAATTGAACCATGACCTCCTAGTTCATGGGTCGATGTTCAACCATTGAACCACACTGGCCAGGCTGCAGAAATATTCTGAGTTCAGGAAATGAATGCCATCATTTAGATCTGAGGTATAGCCTTCCCTCTTAACGAAGATCTCATGTGGGAAAATCCACGTTTAGGAAATTGGCAAATTAGCGGTGACTACTTGCCCCACTGAAGTGATTTTTCCTCAGCAGTAGGACTTCCTGCAGAGTTATTTTAAACAATAAGCCTCCCTTGTTGCATTCAGAATCACTCAATTTACCCAAGTTGCGTAGTTAAAACTTCAAACCTCCCTGTGTTATTACCAGCTTTTTCTAAAGGCAGCAGAGGTCTGAGAAAGATGGGTAAATTGGCGATTTGAGGCTGTTTTGTAGAAGTCATCCTTGGAGGGCAGTGTTCTGACCTTGGCTTCTGTGGAGAGGTTGCAGGGGTGGGGGGTGCGCTCATTTCTCCATTCAGAGAGCTGACCTCATGATTAATGCTACTTGGGAAGGTACACAAGTTCTGTGCATACATTCTGCCTCCTCAAGCAAAGAAACAAAAAACGACAAGGGAGAAATAAAAAAAAAAACTGAGCAGAGAAGAAATAAAAAAACTAGAATAGAGAAGGTTTACAATGTGTCTGGCTTTGGTGGCTGCCATGTGATGGGAATCAGAAATCTGTCGTTCTGGACGTTATTTCCAGATGGCTTTTAAAAATCATTCAGGGAACTTCTGCACAAGAATTGGAAGAAAAAGAGAAGATGGCTGGACAAATCAACTATGCCTATTTTAAAACAACGTTAACGCTGATCTGAAATGGCATCAGGAATGGGTGAAGTCAGAGACCACGGCCCATGTAAACCATTGTAATAACCGCGCGGCGCTTTCATTGCACCCACAGGGATGTGATCCTTGGAAATACAAAAGCCAGCCTCCCATCCTTTCAGCTGCTGCGTCCTCCCTCTGAGCATGCTGATGCAACTTCCACAGCTCAGAGCTATATTTAGCATGAACCAAAATACCCACCTCCAGTCTCTACCCTCCCGTGTCCCTGAAAATTAGCTGTGTCTGCTGTATTTCTGTTCCAGCCCAACGCGAATGTATGTGATTCCGGAAGAGCTGGGTCCAGGAACCGTCGTGGCCAATATCACAGCTGAGGACCCTGATAATGAAGGTTTGACCAGTTTCCTCCTCTACAGCATCACTACTGTTAACAGCTATTTCATGATAAATCAGTGTAAGTCACTCACACGCATATCATTTATGTGCATCTTTTAATTCAGCCAGCAGTTTGGGTTGTTTTTCAAATAGTTTGTGTGCCTTCTGATCTGGGCATGCCTTTTGGTCAAGTTAACAGGGTAATTAGCGTCTTAAAAACAGCTGACATCAACCTGGCCGGTAGCTCAGTGGTTAGTGTCAGCCTGTAAACTGAAGGGTCGTGGGTTCGATTTCCAGTCAAGGGCGCCTACCTGGCTGGTAGGTTGGATCCCTAGCCTGGTCTGGGCACATGCAGGAGGCAACCAATCAATGTTTCTCTTTCTCTCTCTCTTTCCCTCCTTTCGGCTATCTCTTAAAAAAAAAAATCAATGGAAAAAATATCCTCTGGTGAGGTTTAACAGAAAAATAAAAACAAAAACAAAAAACCCAGCTGGCATGGGGGTTGCAGAAACTAAACAGTCAACAGATGTACCACTATTTCACCCTTGAGGCAGGTTCTTTATGTAAGGATGGGTGAATTCATTGGCCTGAAAAGGGGGTCCAGACCAGTGTTGTCCAATAGAAATAGAAGTCACATAAGCCATTATAAAGTTTCTAGTAGCCACATTTTTAGGAACTAAAAAGAAACACGTGAAATTAATTTTAATAAGGCATTTTAGCTAACACCAACAGATCCAAAATATTTTAACATGTAGTTAATATTTAAAGGTTATGAATGAGATATCTTATATTATTTTTTTTTGTACCAAGGCTTTGAAGTTTGTTGTGTATTTCATATTTACTGCAAATCTCAGTTCGGACTAGCGGCATTTCAAGTGCTCACCACATGTGGCCGTGGTCACTGTCCTGGACCACACTGATCTAGATCAATTTGCTGGATTGCTGGGCATTATTTTCCCATCTAACTGTCTCCGTGCAGGGAAGGGGAGTTTCTTTTAATATAGACCAGGCTCTCTGTTGAGTGACCCACATACTTTTCATCTAAATTACTCAGCACACCCTGGCCAGTGTGGCTCAGTTGGTTGGAGCATCATTGCATATGGTACACCAAAGGGTAGTGGGTTCGATTCCCCATCAGGGCACATACCCAGGTGTGGGTTTATACCTGGTTGGGTGCATACGGGAGGCAACCAATCGCTGTTTCACATTGATGGGTCTCTCTCGTCCTTCCCCTCTCTAAAAAAAAAATCAATAAAAATAATTAAAAAATAAAGTACTCAGCACAGCAACTCAACAAACTATCATAATCTGCATTTTATTGATGAGGAAACAGAGGCTTAGAAAGAGACTCGGATAGGTTAAGCCACTTGTCCAAGCTCTCACAGCTTGTAGGTTGTGAGTCTGAAATACAAATTGAAGCTGCCCAACTTCAGATCTTACCCTCTTCACCACTCCTAGACTGTATCACCTCAAGAGTTCCTATGCATCACCAAAAGAGACCTCACTTTACATAATGGTTTTGTGGAGGCCAGCATGGAACAATCCCAGAAAGTCAATGTGTTATTTGCCCCATAGGCTTTAGGGCAAAGGATACTTGCTCCCAGGAGAGATAGGCAAAGGCCATAACTGTGCTCTACCTCTAAAAACTTCCTAATTCTCTGTCACCAAGGACCTCACTCAGCTGATAGTATAGGGATAGACAACCACGATTTAAAATGTTGTTCATGCTAGTATTGCAAAATGGAACTTTTAACAAATACAGTGTTTTGCAGGGGGAGCATATTTAAGACTCTTTGGTTGCAAGTAACAGAAATTAAGGCAAATCAAACCAAGCAAGAGGGCGGGGGGGGGGGCGGGGAATAAAGATAGGGACACATCAGTAGGGCGCTAGGTATCTCATGAGAAAGAGTGGGGCAGTCTGGACCTAGAAAGGCTGGGGACCAGCACTGCTCCAGTAACCTCAGCAGCTAGAGTTCTGGCCTCTTACCTGTAGCTCTACTATTAATCTGAATGGTTACCCAACTTATGTCTCTCAGCTACAAAATCTCCAGTAAGGGAACCCAGGGGGTCAGGCTGGAGTCAGCTGCCTACCAGTCCACTCATCTATGGGCCCAACCCTGAAGTATGGGGTGAACAATTCTAGAAGGGTCAGGCCAGATACCCCAATCAATGTCCAATACACAAACTTACACATGAATTTTTAAAAATGAGTTTGTGTGAGGATAGTCTCTGTGTAAGCCTGTCCCCATATCAGAATGTTCTTTTCAATGTACTACAGGTCTCCATCTGCCTTTACTCTTCATTTCTCTCCAAAGAGTCATGTTCTAATCTTTGCCTTCTTAGTGACTGGTACCATCCAAGTGGCCCACAGGCTAGACCGAGATGCAGGCGAATTAAGACAAAATCCCGCCATTTCTCTGGAAGTTCTGGTGAAGGACAGACCCTTCGGGGGTCAGGAGAATCGCATGCAGATAACCTTCCTGGTGAAGGACATTAATGACAACCCTGCTACCTGCACCAAGTTCACCTTCAGGTATTCACACCCTGAGACACCTGCTGGGGATTTCACCTCCTCAGTGGTCCTCAGCCGTTCGGCCACTCTGGTTATTCTCAGGTGAAGCTGAAGAATTATGCGCACTAGGACATAGCTCATGAAATAAGTAGATTTGAAATGTCTGATTTAGTTGATAGGTTTTCCTTCCATCATCCTTTTTTCTTGCCTGTCTTTCATTTTCTTTCCTCTTCGTTCATTGTCTCCCTTCTCCACTTTCTAACTGGGTTAAAAAATATTTTTATTTTGCTCTCTTCTACAACTTGTTCATCTCCATCGGTGAAAAGTACTACGGGGACTTGTTAGACCCTCCCTGGGCTGTGCCTTTCCTTTATTTATTGCCATTCATGGGAAGATGGTGCTGTTAGTGGTTATGATATATAGTTGAGAGAGAAACACACCGCCAGTAATATGAATAAATCAAACCAAGTATTTACTTAAAACAAAACAAAGCGTCTAATTCACTTTACGCAACTTAATTGCATGTAAAGAAACTGGCAATAGAAAGGGGGAAATGCAGATACAAGTGGGATGCAAGTTATTTTGTGTGTTTTGATCTGTTGTTTGTCTCACAATCTATTCATCATTATTTTAAAATAAAGTCCCTTGTGACTCTGGGTTCATATGCCTTTTTGAAAACAGTATTGTCCTTCTACTAAGTAGTTTGTCTAAATGCCACAAGATTAGCGGCTGCCTGGGTTAGCTTCATCTCCGCAGTGCTTTTGGAATAGCTAGCTGCAGTTTCTTAGGAATCTGAAGGTGGCTCCCCCTGGAGCAAGCTGATGAGTAGTTCCATGTTCAGATGTCCACATGGAGAGTCTCTTTGGGAGTTTGTCCATTCATCTTTTTTTTTTTTTTGTCCATTCATCTTTGACTGGTTTTGCAAGTTGACTTTTTAAACTCCAGGGGACATTGGACACAGGCATAATCCATAGTGTGGCTGTGGAAAGAGCAAAGGACCCTAGACCAGTGGTCGGCAAACTGGCCCCTTGAGTGTGTGGTTCTTCCACAAAATACCACGTGCAGGCGTGCATGTACAGTGTGATTGAAACTTCGTGGCCCATGCCACGGTGCCAAAGAGCCGCATGTGGCTTGCGAGCCGCAGTCTAGGGCAGTGGTCGGCAAACCGTGGCTCACGAGCCATATGCAGCTCTTTGGCCCCTTGAGTGTGGCTCTTCCACAAAATACCACGTGCGGGCGTGCATGTATAGTGCGATTGAAACTTCGTGGCCCATGCGCAGAAGTCGGTTTTCGGCCTGGGTGAGTCTATTTTGAAGAAGTGGCGTTAGAAGT